CATTATATGGGTACTGGCTGGCAGACCCATCACCCCTTTCCATCTACTCATGTTCTTCTGACCAGAAAGGGGGTCCACCCAGGCAGGTTTTAGATGGTCAGTCTTTCAAAAGACCTTACTATCTAAAGATATTGACAAAACTTTGATGATTCAAAGGTGGGCTGGAGACGGGATTTCTGAAAAATCATGGTCATTAAATTAACTTAAAAGGAATCTATTTATCTCCTAAGGATGTGTGAGAAATTATATTGTTACACCCCTCCCCCTCCAACTACAGAAAGCAATATGCAAAAACAAAAGAATGCAAAAAAAATATTATGTTCACAGAAGCAATCATAAGGTCCAGGAACATAAAAATAAAAAAAAAATTAAATAAATAAAACAAAGGAAATAAGAATAACCACAATATTTCATATGCAGCTAAAAATATAGAACATTAGTTTCATAAAAAAAAAAAACATGGAGATGGATCCCCAACCACATCTGAAGGTAGCTCAACTCTAAGAGGGATAAATTCTGAACAAGCTCTCATCTGCCGATACATTGTAATATACCAGAGGATGGTTAACACCTTGTCTCTTCTGCTCACATTATCACAAGAGGATTTTAAGCACCCTTTGAAAAATGTCACATTACAGGAAGAGCCACTCTCCAGATGGGATTTTAACCACCCCCTTCAAGTAAATCGGATCACAGGAAGCATCATTTCTACTCCTCTTTCTAAATAAACAAGAAGACTTTAACCACCTCTTCAAATCTTTTCCAATTCATAATGCCCCACCCCCACAAAAAAAGGAATTTTAGCAATCACAGAAGGAAAACCAGCGTTGCTCCCTCATCAAGACAAAACCTAGAGAAATTGTATAACACAGCTGGCCCAGCTCAATCCTGTGTCCTTCCCATGGCGGTTAGTATTGCTGCCAGTCAACTGATGGTTATCTGCTTGCCGCTTCATTCCTTCATCTGCTTCTGCCCCATATCGTGTTCTTTGATCACAGGACCGTGAAGATTGAATTTCATCTGTACTCAAGCTTTGGGTTGAACCACAGCAAAACAGTGCTACAAAATGACAAAAAATGTTTTCTCTGGTGAAAATGATAATGGCATAACAAAATAATGAAGAAGGTTGCCAGGTTAATTTTCAATTAGCTTATATAGGTCTTGATACAACAAAATTAACCCTCCCCATTAAAATCTCTATTGTGACACGTCTTTTTCTTCTAAAACTTGGAGCTAGTTTAAAAAAGGCGGAGTTGGCTATTCTCACAGCAACACTTCACATGGCATCTTCTAGCATCTGGTTTTTGGGTCGTCTAAGTTTATATGTATTTCGCTCGACTTGTACCACACCTCAGGTTTCATTAATATTCATATGAATTCATTATCTTGCCAATTCTGGAGAACCGATACTGACTTTTAAACAAAGTGGTCCACGATCAGTCACTTATTCAAAACTACAAATTCTTCAACAACAAACTTCTTGTTTATAAATTCTTTCCTATGTCCTTGACGTCAAAGAATTTCATTTGTTTTCGACTTTTCAATATGACTGATTTAAAAATCTTTACCCACTTTACATTTTTACAAAACCATATTTCAGATTGTTTACATTATCAGCTTTATTTAAATAAAATAGTTAAATTCATAAAACAAATATTCAAGATGACTAATGTTGACCAGAATTCATGTCTGTCTCTCCTAATTTTTACTTAATTTTCTTTTCTTTCCAAATACAAATATAACTTGAAATGTAAACATAATCAATTTTGAAAATTAAATTCTCAGGGTATCTTGCTTCGACTCTTTTTCAAAATAGTAATTAAATTAATTTATGGAAAAATGTTTGCTTCTTTAATGGAAGAAGAGATAATAGAACACTCCATATCATCATAGAGCTTCCTGGTAGTCATGGTTGCGGGGGTGATGGAGGACACAGGTTCTGTGTAGATTTTAGAGCTCTGAATAAAATAACCAAACCACTAGCCTACCATTGATTGACAGCATATTAGCATTGCTGGGAAAGTTGACTTATTTTTCCACCCTTGATTTGAGGTTTGGTTACTGACACGTAGCAGAGGAGAAGACTGCATTTGCCTGGTACGTTAGGTTGTACCAATTCAGAGTTATGCCCTTTGAACTGGCCAGTGCGCCTGGAATTTTTCAGCAGCTCATGTTGATGGTCCTGGTAGGACTCAAGAAATTTTCTATAGCTGGTGTGAAAGGCTGTTCTCTCAACTGGTATGTTGAAGCACAGCCAAAATGATAATCGCCAGATCAAAGTAGATAATCACATTAATAATTGATTTTAAACTGTTCAGGTTATTGTTAGGGAATCTGGATTCAAAATTACAAAAGGCAGAAGTAGTAAGAAAGGAAGTAGCTTGTAGATACCGAAGTGCCACAAGAAGGGTTATCACTGCATTTTATATTCTTAGGCAGGTAACTCAATCTTTGATTGCCCAGGGTGAAACCTAGAAGTTGTTGCAAATTAGAAATAAAAGGGTAGTCCTTCCGATAATAGATAAGGTGCTCCATGTCCTCTTTAGAATGGTATCCAGAGCTGGTCTGGGATGGATCCTGCAGAAATTAGCTAACTTAGGTGATCAGAAGATCTTAGCTCAAGAGGCTCAAAGAAGTTTATCAATTCTAAATATCACTAGATTAGAAGTAGCAAAAAAGAGACAGACTATTAATTGGTTATTTTATTATTTGTTTTTTTTTTTTCTGTGGCAAACTTAGGGTCTCATCCTTGTCGCAGCAACCAGTTGTGTTGATGCGATTCTGCACAAGCTGTGATGACATCCAAGGTTGGCTGTATGCAAATACACCAGTGCTTGCTATGTTCCACAGATTTGTCTTGATTATGGCTGTGATCGCCATCAACAAAGAAATAATGTCTTGCTTTTCAAGACACTTCTTGGGTCAGAAAGTAGCAAACAAAAATACAATTTCTCACTTAATTGGCAATGTCTTCAGCTACAAAAAAGCAAACTACTTCTCTCTGAGTTCCAGCCACGGAAATCAGCTATACACACTCACTGCTTGACTGTTTAACTGACTACTTTATATGGATACTGGCTGGCAGATCCACCACCCCTTTCCATCCACTCATGTTCCTTCAATTGACCTTACATTTATGGCTATCTAAAAACATTACCAAAACTTTGTTTGATAATTCAAAGGTGGGCTGGAGACAGAATTCCTAAAAAAAATTCTGGTCATTAAATTTACGCAAAGATTTCCTGGAGACAAGATTCCTGAGAACACTGGTCATTAAATTGACTTAAGAGAAAAAGGAATATGTCTCCTAAGAATATGTGGGAAATTATATTGCTACACACCCAATGAATTTTCTACTTAAGTGGTCTTATTGCAATTTTGCTGACCTCACAAAATTAACTTATCTTTAGTACATAACAGATTATGATGGGGAAATGATGCCAACCCCTTCACTGGTGGGGTATAAAAAACAAAAACATAAATAGTGAAAATCTTTGGTAACTTAAAATATTACTCTTAAACCAACCGGTACATTTTATCTGAAATATATACCTTGCTCCTGAACTACTTCAATCTGCAATCCCAGAAGTAGAAGTCGTATTAATGGATATACCATACCCATTCCAGTCCTTACTCTCAATTCCCTGAGTGATATTAATCATCCAGCAACAAACCTGGGTGGGGTTTACAGCCTTATTCAGCAACTTTCCTAGAGTTGGCAATATGATCACCCAGCCTCCTGTGCTATGATTAGGTCAATAGGAGTAGATAGGCTTGCCTATCATCCAGCCCACACTCCTATGTTTATTGAACTGGAGTAGAGGATCATTCCTTGTTCCCAATCTAAAATATGGTTTACCAGTTCCTTCTCCTCCTCTTTCATTTAGACTAACCAGTAGCTGCAACTTTCCATTATAAGGTTTACCAGGTTGGTAGTTCACAGACTGGTAGTAAGGAGCCTGAATTCTTTGCTAGTGCTTAGAGAGGTTGTGCTGATCAACAATTGCATAATATCAGGGTGTTTGTAATGCCATGTCGTGCATGGTTTGGTGTCCATGCGTGTATTTCCGGTGGGTGGTCCTGAGGCCATATTACGCTCTTGCCTCAGCCACATTCTGGCTAGTTTGTATTGCCATTGATAGTGATGATTATATTGGCCTTTTCTTTTTTTTTTTTTTTTTTTTTTTCTCTCTCATCAATACCAGTTTCCTTATGACGAATACAATGAAAGGAAATATGAGAAAACCAGTAAACCTAGAACCACCTACCCCCTCAACCTTTCTTTCTCAAATGTTTGTAGTATCCATTCCAACTTCAGCAGTATAGAATCTTTCCTCTTGATCGGTCACTGGATTTCTTTGCACTCTGAAACCAATTTAAATTCTTCCATTGCTACCAATAAATTCTCTGTCTATCTTCCTCTTTGCCAAAAATATTCCAGCATTCACATGCATGCCCTTGGTGTTTATATCCAGGATAATCTTCCAATGGCAAATGTATTGTCACGAAAGTCTCCTGACAACACTTTCCTTTATCACTCTCCCTCTTCTCAGAACTACAGTATATTGGACATAATTAATCTCTGACAGTATAGAAAAATCTCTTTTCTCCCCGTGTGTGTGTGTGTATATATATATATATATATATATATATATATATATATATATATATATATATATAAAAATCTCCTTCCTTAACTTCCCACTTAGAACTGAGACTCTGTTGAATGATATACATATAATCCCTTATGCTTTCTGCTATCATCTCTAATCTGGATCCTCACAAAGTATGTGGACCTGATGCTATCTCTGTAATAGTCCTTAAGAATTGTGCTCCTGAACTGGCTCCTGTTCCTTTCATATTAATGCAGGTTTCCCCTTTATTTTAAATTTTCATTAACAACCTTACCGACATGTCTTTATTTAAAACAAGATTTGCATGCTTCATTTGTTTGAAAGATTTGTTTACAAAACTTTTTTCTTTTTTTATTCTTTTTCCAGATCTTTAATGATCTAACTGCTGAAGCCATAAGAATGTTCTTCCTTTGGGATTTTACCAGTTTGTTACCAGTCAAGTGGAGTTTTGATTAGTAGACCAGGAAGAGGCAAGTTTTTTTGTTTTGTTTTTGTTTTTTTGCTTTTTCTACCTTGGGTATGTTTAAAAATATTTTTTTTAAGTTAATGTATTTATAATTGTTATTCATTAGGTATCCCAAACTATTTTCAATAAACCCTAAAACTCTTAATACAGGTACATAGAACTTGACAAAACATAAAAATGTTGCAAAATTTATCTTGATAGCTCAATTAGCAACCAATTTACAAACATTCAGTTTGTCAGATTTCTGTCTCCTGCTATTGTACCAATTTTAACAGTGTATAACTGAAAATGACAGCTTCAAACAAGTGAAAAACCATTATGAATGTAATGTCATATATGTAGTCTTGAAGTAAAAGAAAGATAATATGAATGGAATCAATAATTATTAGATTTGAACAGCCTAAACACGGGAAAATTGTTCTCTAAAATGAAATGGTTTAAAAAAAAAATTACATAGAAGGGCAATTCTGACTGCTTATATAAATTTCATTTCAACTTCTTGCTATGATTCATAGCACAACAGAGATCAATTATTTATTTTTTTCCTCCTGTAGTATATCAATTTAAAAAAAAAAAAACAAAAAAAAAAAACATATTTACACTATGTAAAAATAGCCAGAGGCACAATTTGACAGTAAACCAAAAACAGGTCAAAATTGTACTATCCTGAACATGCCATAAAAAAAAAAAAAACATGTATTCATTGGAGGTACATACCTGAAACTTTGGAAATTTACTAATTTTGGGATGAGGAATTGAACAAAATAGTTTTTTTTTCTTTCTCTGCAATATGAATGCCTTTTGCTATAGATGTATCTAATGTTAAAAGTTTTGTGAAATCATGCAGTTTTTAACTTCTCAAGAAAAAAAAAGGACAGTTATGACAAGAAAGCTTTGGAAATTAATTTCATAAAATGAATCATTGGTCAATCCTTCAAACAAATGCTTATTGTAAAGCTTTAAACAAAAAAAAACTGATTTATTAGAACTGATGAAAAAGACTTTCTGAACAGTTGGAATGGTCCTCCTGCATTTTCTCTTCTAATGATGATTTGCATTCTGAATTTGTTTATAAGCCTCTACTATAGCCAATATTTCTGGAACACTCCATATCCTATCAACTGAAAGTGGCATTATATCAAAGTCTCATCTAAAGACAAATATTGATGCCTCTTGTGCATTATCATTCATCAAAAGCCACAAAAAATAATCATTTCTGCCTTTGAAGTAATAGTATACTGCAACCCATTCACCTTTGCACACATAACTAATGGTCATTTGAAGAGGTTCTTCTTCATCAAAAATGCTAGGATTGTGATCATTTGAATACTCACGTTCACTGAGTGCCTTTTCTTCCTTCATTTGTCCCTCTAGAGGTGGAGGTGAAATTTCATTAAAAATTACTACTGTGATATTTATTTCCTTCATCACCATTTTTAGACTTTATCAGCAAAGTGTAAGAATTATATATATATATATATATATATATATATATATATTTTTTTTTTTTTTGTTTTGTTTTGTTTTTGTTTTTTTGTTTTTTCAAGAAAATGTAAAAAATTTAATTTTAACCTGAAATTTAAAAAGAAAAAAAAATGTAAACTGATTACATTTTGAAAATTACCTAATCACATTCTAATTTTTTATGGGTCTTTGCACTAAAGTTAAGCTAAAACATATCTAAATTGACTAGCATTTTTTTTTACTTTAAGATGGAACTATTTTGATATATGTGGGGCGACACAACTTTGAGCGCAACAAATTTGAAAAATGTCACTATAAAATTGTCCACATTTTCAAATGCATACAAAGAAACACCTGTCATTGAAATGGTGAATGTATTGTATCTTTAGAAAAAGAAAAGGTTAAATTTTGTTTAGGCTAATTTTATCCAAATAGCCACAAAAAGAAGCAGTAATTGAAATTTCACTATTTTCGACAGGTTTATGCTGTGTAAACTATGGAGGTTTGGTGTACCTATTTGTATCATACCCTAACTGTAATTAGGACTTAACATCAAATACACTGTTATAAAAAGATGGAAAAATTATTTTATTCTTTTAAAGAAAACAACACCTAATTTTGTTTAATTTTAATTTGTCTTAAATAATAAAAATAAGCTGAAAAGATTATTTCCCTTTAGAGAATGCCTTGTTCAATATTAAAAACTTAGGTTATCTCTGAAAAATTCTTCTCAATGCTTTTAAATAGGTAGTATAAGCATTTTTTTTTTTTTTTTTTTTTTTTTTTTTTTTTTTAAACCAGCTGAAGTCTGGATAACTTCATTTAGATGTTGATTTGGCAGTGGGCTATAAAGTTCATCTTAAATTATAGATTCATAAAACCCCTTTGAAGACAGCAGCAGTGCTTCCGACAATGCTTTCATTAGATGATTACCCTGGAGTCAGGTGTGGCTTTAGTCTGAAGCATCATTAACCACAGTTACTCTAGCGGTACCTCACAATACTGCTAGACATTGTTGGGTTTCTGTCACAGTGTAGGAATGCCAGATCTATACGGATAGAACCTCTGCACATACTTGAAGCCTCATAATTTCCTCCTTTTCTGGTGATGATTCCAGTTTAGTCGGATATGCTGAGGTCAAGTTGGCAATAAAACCTTGGCATCCAAATTTGTTAGGAGATATATTAGGTTGTCTAACCATATTTTGTAAATTGTGCCTTCTCAAATCTTTGTACTTTTTCAGCTTATGTTCATGTGCTTAGTTGATATTTTCTGCAAAAGGGACTGTTAATTACTTTATATAATATTTCCATCTGTTCTTATAAATAGATTAAGCCAAAAGATATAAAAAAAAAAAAACAATTGCTGAGCTAGTAAGTCATTTGTTCTTGTGATTTTAATTGGTTTCAGTGTCTTTTTAGTTTTAAAAAAATCCCATAATTTTAAATTTAATATTGTTTTTCTGGAATTTTGCCTGGTTTCTGTGTTCATGCCTATAACTTTGTCAGATTTTTATTACTTTAGAATAGTACTTGTTTAATAAGCTAACTAATGCTTATATTTCTACATGCACAATCATTTTTTTCTAATTGTCTGCTTTAGTAAAAAAAAACATTTACTGAATCTCTATATGAAGCATAATAGAATATTTGCATATTAAAACTATATCAAACATCAGTTGCAGTAAAATTTTACAAAAATCATATTTGAGAATTCATTGTAATCTTTCCTTTTCTGGAAGGCTTGCACAAACATCTGATGTTGTTACTATAAAATTTTGCGACTTTCTTAAATTGTATTATCCATATGGAGGGAGACTAACAGCACATGTGTGCACACACACACGCACACACAAGATGGCAAACAGAAAATGGTAGCTGATAAACTAACTGACTTGGTTCATTTCCAGCAATAGGAACCCCATAGGCAATATCCTTTACTTCTGCTCGTGTAATTCTGTTATTTGGAATTTAAATTCTCTCTCTCATATATATATATATATATATATATATATATATATATATATATATATATATATCCATACTGCCCTGACAAAAGTATTCAACCAACAAGTCAATGTATATCACTTCTTTCAATTTTTTTCACTCTTTCTCTGGGAAGGCTCTACCATATCAGGTTCTTTCTACTTCCCTTTTTGAATTTAGCCATTAGCAATCTCTAGGTGACTATTTCTGCCAAGCAAAATGTTAGTCCTGCCAATGTTAAATTTGAATTTCTTTTTTTGTGTAGTCATATCCTTAATGGTAACACCTAAAACAATCTGAAATTGAGATATATAGAACTAATATATAAAATACTATGTTTTGATTGGATTCCATATACAGGAATTAATATTTATAAAATATGTAGAGTTCTAAATGTTAAAAGGTGGTTGCTTTTTGCCAATTCCTGTTCATCACCTTGTTCTGTAAAAGAAATATTCTTGGAAATTATACTTCTCAAAATAATAGATAATGAAATATCTCCTTTGGCTGAATGTTGACGAAAATAATTGGGGTTTATTGATATTATCGTTTTAGAAGATTCCCACCTGTGTTTTTTGTTTTAGTTTTGTTTCCTCCAACCGTAATTCTATATATTGTGTGTGCTGTATGTAATTGCACAATGCACTTCATTTTAGAAATTATCATTTTTGTGTAAAGTACAATGAATGTGGTTTCCTTTCATTCTCAAGATGCCAAGTAAAAGACCTTGTAACCACATCACATGTATCTTGGACTGGTGCTGATACTTGACTCCTTTAAATGTTTTGTCTGTTTAGAAAAATAAATTTTAACCCTGTAAAATTTAGTTTATTCATAGTTTTCTGTTTGTTCTTTTTACACTTATATTTTTTAGTTCATTTATAGACAGAAGAAAATTTTTTTTTTTTTTTTTTTTTTTTTTACTTTTGTCATTTTATGTTTATTAAAAGAAAAATTTTACAGTGCCAAATTCATGAAAAAGTGTCTGGTTATAAAGAATTTTTTCACAAAGTTAATCTTGTATTTTTTCTCTAATCTTTGTTCTTGGGCACCAACAAGTTCTTTGATTTGTGGTTTTTGTTTCTTACAAGTATTTGAGTTTTTCTAACATATAGAGATGCCCAATACTTGATAGTTTGATATTTGTAGATGCTTACTTAACAGTAGGTTTAATTTTATTAGTCTGTAAGTCCTCCAAGCATATCTTGAAAATAAATCTGCTAAAGACAAGGTTCCATCAGTACCTATTTTAACACAGTAAAAAAAAAAAATAAAAATAAAAAAAAGACCCAAAAAACAATGTTACAAGATATTTAATATTGAAAAGACTATTTCACTTTTATTCAGAGTATAATTGCTCAAAATGTGGCTATTTATTGGACAAAGTTGAATGTCAAACATTTGATCTCTTACTAGATGTAGAAATTAATTTAATGTCTTTACGGTTACTGGTATCCCCCAAAGATATTATCCCAGAATGATGGAAATCTTTCATACAACTTTTTGTTGTCAAGAGTATGAATCCATCTTTAGAAATAGATCTATATCACTTTTTCTTCTTTCTTTCTTTCTTTCTTTTTTTAGTATATATTTCATTGTTTTGCTCCTCTATCAGGTCATCTATTTTGCTTGTGTTTAAATATTGATTAGCATTATTAATATTCATTTTTGTTCAATTTTAATTTTTCATTTCCTACGACATTTGAAGTAGAATTTCTCATTCACTTAAAACTGTTCATAAAAGTTAATTAAAAAAAAAAAATGTATAAATTCTATTCATTTTTTGCCTCCAATGATGAGATCACCAACTTTTAGCATTAAAATAATTTACCTCAGCTTTCAGTATAATTTTCAAGTAAACAACTTTCGACTTAGTTTTGAGACAATACCACCTATAAACCCGTTGGGTTTCTTTTTAAAGCAGTTCATCATACAAAATTAACAAGATTATCAGTTTTATTATTAATTACATATTTTAATTTTGTATTTTAAAGACTGTAAAAGAAGGTTTGTTGTTCCACTGGCCTTCCTAATTAACACATTGCATAAAAATTTGGAGTAATAGCTTAAAACATGTGCGGTCTTTTTCAAAATAATAAGTATATTTTTTAATGGCAGCAAATCAGCTTGCATCTATTTATTTACCATCAAGTTATGTGACACATAGAGCTTCTTCACCTTTCAAGTAGTTGTTTATAAAGAAAAAGGTCTGTGGTGTAGTGAATTGTATAAAAATATTTTTTTGTTATGCATATTTGAATTTAATAATGTTATAATTGTTTATTTTTTACATGCATAATAATTGGAATATAATATGCAAGTGTTTTTTTTATATACATGGATTGATATAAGAACGTGTATTGAAAACAAATACACCTATTAAGAATGCCATAAAAACAGAAAAACTGCCCAAGCTTATGAATCTCTTGTCTAATTTTTCAGATAAAAAATCTTACTATTTAACCCATAGCTGGGAGGGGGAGATGGATTCATACCTTTCCCAAGGATATTTGTGTATAAATGAATGTAGCAAACCTGCCTGGAATTTGAACTTTGCACTCTGATTTCTCATTATGAACCACTATCCATTATACCACCCACACATCCAATGCATATTTCCAACTAAATAAACATTGATAAAAATTGAAGATTTCTTTATTGTCAAGAACCAGGTTAAATGTTTCTACTTGATGCTTATTTACTGATAACTAAGAATTACAAAACATTCTTGAGTAAAACATTATCACTTTATTTGATATAATATCTACTTTTCCTTTATTTGAGTTTTATTATTTATTTTAGAATTAAGATATTCAAGTTTTGTTTTTTTTTTTCACAAAAATAAAAAGATGTTTCAAATTCCTAGATTTGCACTAAAATTGATCCTATCCCATTTCTTTTCTTTTTCCCAGATATTCTAAAGAATTGTCTTAGATTTCCCAAGAACCTGCTTTGTGCATTCTGATCTTCAACATGGAGTGAACCTACACACTACACCCAGTGACTTCATGGACAGCAGTGTGTTTTCTGTGAACTCTGACAGGATTAGGATTTTTGATGACCAGATGCTTACACCTAGTTCCTTACCACTGAAAAATTCTTCATCCAAGGATAGTCCAACAAGCAGAGATAAAATGGCTCAAGATTGTCGAGGGATCAGTTCCTCTGTTACTATACTGCGGCCACGCTCGCCCACAAAATGTTCAACAGAAGAGAGGGGGCTGATGGAATTTGTCGAACGTGGCATTAAGGACAGTTTTAATGGTGGAGTCCCTTGTCCATGGGAAGACATCATCTGTGCCTTTTCTGCTACTTTCCTTTTCAGATCTTCAAGTGGTGCTTTCATACCAGACGTTGACATGCAGATGTATTGGTGTAATTTTTGTTCATTTAAATCCAAAGAAAAAAGAGAAATGATCAATCATTCTATGAGTCACCGCTTCAAATGTAACTATTGTGACCAGGAATGTTTTACGCGCTTTGATGTCGTGAAACATTCAATTAAAGCTCACCCAGAATACAAATTGACTCGCCACGCCCTGAAAGCTTGTATGCTGCTAAGAGACTTACTTGAACAAGATGAAACCTCCATTATGTTTGGTGGTAAGAATCTGGATAGTGATGATAAAACAGACAGCTTGCACCTTGAATATGATCAACAGAGTACCAACTCTAACCATGGCAGCAGCAGTGGAGGTGATTGTCAAAATTCTACACCAACCATACTTCTTAATAATCAAAATGAGTCCTCTCTAAAAGTTGCTGGCACGTTTTCAATTTTTCCATCCGCTAAAAAAGATTCTAATGACAGTAGTAATGATGCCGAGTTGACTGTACCATTGGGAATGACAAAATCTAGTTCTCTTGTAGAACTGACACAATCTTTGACTGAATCAAATAGCAACGGAACCAACACCAAATTGTTTGAAGTTAAAAGTTCTGAAACTACACAGAACACAAGCACAGGACCAATTGCATTGATCACCAATATTCAGTCCAATGTTGGTTCTTCGGAGAATAATACTGATGCACTTCAGCCATTGGTTACTTCTACAGAGGAGACTGGGTTACAGATTGTCGATGTTCAGTCTTCAAGTAGCCTGAAAGCTAACATAGTAACATTTAGTCTGGCTGAAGAAAATGAAACTGGAAACTTTGATGGCATGGAGCAACAGCCTGCCCCTCAGCAAAATACTACCAAAGAAACCCTTCAACTTCTGGAAAGTTTAATAAATCCGAGTAAATCTTCAGAGAAGAAAAACAATGATTCAGAGAATGTGGATGCAAGTCCTGACGTAGCTGTTATATCCGAGTTGGATTCCGTACAAAAAACTAACCTGCCCGAAGAAAATGTCCAAACTCCGAAACGAAAAGTAGCGGAGTTGTCGGTGGACAGCAGTGCCGAGGAAGATGAGGATGCTGATCCAGATTATCAACCAGAAAACAAAATTGGCAAATCCGAGCGTTCGTTGCGTGTTAAAAAGAAAAAGTTAGACTTGAAGCCATGTATAAAAGAAGTGAGTTCCGAAAAGAAAGTTGATTATAAGGCTGAGAATCTGCCAATTGGTACACAACTCTGGCGATGTGGCTATTGCCGCTATCGTTCACTGAAGAAAAAGAAGATAGAGGCTCATGTCAAAGAGAAGCATTCCCCCAAAACCATTAAATATACCCGGCTAATTGTGAATGCTAACAAAGAAATTGTGAAGGACTCAGTCAGTGAAAAACCACTCGGTCAGACAAGTTGTGAATTTGAAGTAAAATCTTCCTCCAGTCCGCCGACAATAAAAACTGATGTCAACGATGATGATGATGGTGATGATGAGACAAACAAGGAGAAGTATGCCTGTATGTTCTGCAATTACAAATCAGCTAATGTGCAGATTATTCGCCAGCATATGTTCCGTCTACATCCCAGCAAGAAGTTTTGCTGTATTGACAATTTCCTCAAGCAGAAAGGCAAGAACTTTTACACTTTTTTCTGCTGTCGCCATAAGTGTAACTTTCTTTCTGTTAATCCTCAAAAATACATTGAGCACGTAGAAAAATGTACCCCCTTGCCCAAATCCGGAAATGATGATGGCAGTAAACCCACAGGTTTACAACAATCGGTGACATTTGCCCAAAATCTGCATGATAATGAAAAAGTTGATGGTGACCGAGGGTCAAAGAAAGATTCTGGGGACAGGCAGAACTATTCGTGTCATCGCTGTTCCTTCTCTGCTATTGGCAATGATACAATGAAATGTCACATGCTTACAGAACATCCTAACCTCAGCATGATTGCCCTAGTTAAGAAACCAGACTCGACACTTGACTTTTACCTGTTCTGCCCGGAAGAAACTTGCAAGTTCACCACCCAAAGAAAACATGAACTGGAAATTCATCGTAAGCAGACCCACACGAGTAAGTCTAGTTCAATTGATAATGATGATGACAGTAAAGATATCAAACCATTTGCTGACCAAAAAATGTCTAAAGATGGGGATTCAATTGAAAAAAATACCATGACCTACATGCCAGCATATGAATGCTTGTATTGTGAAACGTCCTGCATATCAACATCTCTAATGAACATGAAGAGACATGTTCAAGAGACGCATCCTAATGAGGTAATCATTGTAAGAGACTGTGTTGCTTATAAGCGAAAGCGACCATCACGAATCTATGTTTGTGATGCTCTCGGCTGTATTTTCAATGACTTGGATTACAAAGAATATCTCACACACTCCATTGCCCATAAAGGAGGCATATTGTATGGATGTGCCAATTGTAACTGGGCTGGTCAGGATAAGAAAGATTTTAATGATCATGTGAAGAGACAGAAAGGTCTTAAGCATTCCTTAGTAGGAACCAAGGTTTTTATGAAAGAAGATGGATCAATAGTAAAAGAAGATGAGCCTCTGTAAAATTTTTTTTTTTTTTTTTTTTTTTTCAATTCCTGTGTAGGAATTTGTTCTTCTTCCACTCTAAGCCCATCATTAATGTTTCTACAATACCTGTTTTTATTCTCTGTTAATTGTTTTTATCTCAGTTATTTTAGTGAACTGTTTCAACCTGTATCAGCACACACTCTTCAAGAAGACATGTTGCTTTGTCTCATGTGACATGAATTCCAGTGTCACCATTTAGCAAGATTTGCACTTCATGCTGATTACAAAACTGTTGAATATGCCTGACAACAAAGTTCACCTTGAAGATAAGAGATTAGTTTACCTGAATGTAGACATTATTCCAGAATGAACAGAAATGACTGGCTAAAAGTATTATGAAAACAAAATTCTTGGACCATGGATGTATATCATTTCAAGATCACAACTTGGTCTTTGTTTTCAGGAAGTATATTGTTTTATAACTGACAAAATTATGTCCTCAATCAATGCTTTCATTAGGCAAATATTTTTTTTTTCCCCCCCCATCATGTCATCATTCAGTTTTTTTTTTCTCTTGTCTTAGTCTATCTCTAGTTCTGTACATTTAGTTTAATTTTTATCTTTTTCATCTGTACTTATTCATATTGTACTCATTTATCTACTTACTTGAAATGATTAAAGTATTTTTAATCACCTATTATTTAATGTTTGGCTTCTTTTTAAGCTTGTCTCTTTGCTTCTGTACAAATTCATTTTCTCTGTATTCTTTACAGATGTCTTGGCATATAAAGCAGAAAAACATTATCCTAAGTAATTCTTTCAAGCACTTTTGTCAACAAAATCTTTTAAAAATAAGTTGTCTTCATGCAACTTTTTTTTTCTCTCTCAATAACTTGGGCCTTTTCAGAATGGATACCAAATCCAATTTTGGCAATGTGTTCCCCATAACTCAATTTAACTTGAGAGCACAGTGTAATGGCGAATTATCTCAAAAATGTTCTGCATATACTGTGGAATATATTTTGTAATTTATTGAAGTAAAGATTTTCCCATTAAGGGGGGTCTAAAGTGACTATTCTCCTTTTTCATCCATTATTTCTTTACTTGTTTGATATTCCATATTATAAATTCACTATACTAAAAATATTAAATATACTTTGTTGGTTTCTATCACCAAATCACACTTTGATTTCTATAGAAAATTACTGCAAAATTATGTTTAAGCGAAATAACAGAAAATCAATAATAAAGTAGTTATTAATTACTCAAAATTTGTTCATATTTATTGCGGGGGAAAACACTTCTAAAGATAGCATGTAAGAAAGATTTTATTTGTGATTTATGATTCATAAAATGAATTTCTGTTAGTGATATTTTCTTAACATTGTCAACCAGGGATGCCTTTGTGCCACTAATTGAATTATATGCAGTGAATATTTAAAACTTCATGTAAAAAGGGATAATTATTTATTGCATACTTCAACAGTGTAAAACTGAAGTATTAAATTTTTGGTACTAAAAAAATTTTTTTTTTTTCTAATTTACAAATTGAAAACTTATCTGAAATAAATCTTTAATATTTTGATTATATATAAAAAAAAAATCTTTACTAAGGGAAAGACACCAACTTTGTTTTTTTGATTGATTTGGTTTTCTATGGCTTATCAACACTTTGCAGGTTATTTCAAGTCAAAGTATTTTTTAGGTTGTGTTTGTTTTGTTTTAATGATTTTTAGTGAATTAATAAGATTTATATAAGTCCTAACTATACCATAGGTGGATTCATACCTTTCCCAAGAATATTTGCACATAAGTGAATATAACAAACCCAACTGGAAATGGAACTTTGTTCCCAGATTGATAATTCCAAGCCATTACACACTACCTGCACATCCAAGCTTACAACACCTGGTATTCCCAAGCAGTCACCTAATGAGGTAATGGCCAGGCTCATTGTTGTTTAACTTTGGTGATTGTATGGGAATTAGCATTTCGTCATGTGGCCATAAGCATCAACTTTGCATTTTCAAATAACTATCATTTACAACTTAAATAGTAACTTAAATCAGTGGCTTGACTTTGTTAAATCTGCTATAAACTGATGATTTTTCAGTTTGTGATGTTAAGGATTTGGTTTTTGTAATTGCTGATACACCACCAATTCTGGAAATTTCTCCACAAGTGTACTTTAGGATATGACTAGAAAAAAAAAAATCTCACACAAGGAAAGCACTTAACGTTAAAAAAGTTGATGGATTGTAATTTAAAAAAATAGAAATAAAATTAAGAGTTTGATAAACTTTTCTAATTAAAATTCCAAAACTATTTTTAGCCTCTTATAATTAACTAGCAATATCTATGAAAATTTAATGATTTTCCAATTTTAATTTTTTTTAGTGTATAATTAAGGAAAAAATAAGCTCATTGCAAATTCCAAAAACTATTACAATAACAAAAATAAGCATGTATGTAGATCATTAAAGTAAGGTATAATAAAAAAAAAAAAATCTTTACAGGGTTTTCCATTTCATTGAAGCTGCTATTAAATAGTGATTTTCTAAGCATAGCTTAGATGTGGCACAAGGCCGAAAGTATGGGGCATCCAGTGAGGATCGAACTTGGTCATAATTGTTCTAGCAAGACAAACTTGCTAACCATTACACCACCTTAGGGTGCCCAAGATGCTATTAAATAGGGTGTAATCAGGTGTTCACCTTTCTTATTCTCAGTTTTCCTATTTAAATTTTATGATGAATCTTAATTATTGAATAAACTCATGAGTTCTACAGCAATAAAAAATTTGTAGAAATTCCTATTTAAATAAGTTGAACAACTTTAACAAAATATTGCAATATCATAAATATGAATACTCCATTATTTATTAGGTATTGGCTGGTTATAATAGTGGTGCTAAGCAGAGACTAACAGGATTAGAAGATATTGAATTTTACAGTTGGTATTTATGGGTTATGTAAATATTGATCCTAAAATGGGAAGCATTGAAATTTGGAAAAATAATTATTGAACTATATGATGTACAAGAACAAATATCCAAATCTGTACAATCAACTGTGAAATTTGTTTTCTCCCAAAGAAATAGTTTACTTCTAATGTAATTATTTAAAAAAAAAAAATTTAACCTTAAGTACAGCTTAAAATAGTATTTTCAAACCAATTTCTGCTTTCAGACAGATCAATTGCTAAATGTGAATTTCTCTTACACAATTAAAAATTAGGATGAATTAATCATGTAAGAGTTGGCACCTTTTTATTTTTACAAGCCAAATTATACAGTTGAATTGCTGCTGTTAATAAAATTGTAATAATCAAGTTGATCTCAAATGCATCACAGATGAACAGAAAATAAATCAAACATTATGTAAATGGCTTTTGGCACAAATCTTTTAATTCATTATGAAGCAAATGGTCAACAAAAACTATACAATATAAGCAAATTTAATACTGGAAAAAAAAATAACATTCACTAATGATTTAGTGTGTATATATATATTACATATATGTTATGTTAGTCCTTTGACTATCAGTATTTACTTCCCATTTCATTACTGCTTACATATAATGAGAGGGATCTGGCATTCTCATAAAAGAGCCTGCACTATTTGCTGAGGGGTAAGGACAATGTCCAGAGCTCGAGTCTTTCCAGTGGAAACTGGAATGGTGTAAATCACTCATAGGGGGAGTTGATAGATTTCGATTCTGTATCAAATCAGACATTTTCTCAGTTTTCACTCTTTTCAGATGTGCTTCTGTCCGTTTAGGAATGTATTCTTCAAGAAACTGCTCAGTTTCGCTTTTCTTATCCAGAAAGTCATCAGCCAATTTCTAAAATAAGAAAAAGTAAAATTCTTTCAAATTTCCAAGGAACACAAAACAAAATTAATCAAGTAATTCATGAAACAGTTTTAAAATATTTTTAATGATAATGTATTCATTGACTGGCAAAAACTGATTTACTTAGTTACTCAGGTGTTTGGGGTGGGGAGAGACAGTTACACATGTTGCTGATTTATGGTTATCAAAAAGAAAAAAAGGGGGGGTGAAAAGGAAAATTGGTTTAGAAACACACACACACACACACACATATATATTACATAATTGATGTTTGTAAAGAAATCAAATCTGTAAGGGTCTAACACAGATGCCAAAAATGCTAATTACTCTATCCTTTTACGATATGTTAAGACAATACTGTTTGATTTAATTAACTGAAAAACTACTTTTAAATTATTCATACAGCCCCAAAAAATACTCATATTTGATAACTAAGCTAAGTACATACATCTGAGTGTTCTATTAACAATCAGCCTCCAAGGATTTTTTTTTTTAAACTTGGGTTGGGAAATAATTCTAGTCAATGTTCTGATGTTAGATGATAAAAAAAAATTTCCATAATATTGAAATTATAAAAATATTCTGACGAGAAAAAAAATACCAAAATGCATTTTTAAAATATCATCATGGCACCATTAGAAATAGAGTTGTATTAATAGCAGGTGAGGAAATTAAGTTTCCAATAAAAGAGAACAAAATGCTATTCATTAAATATCATACTTCAGATTCTTCTTCTGTTGTGGCTGCATCAGCTTGTATAAGTGCCAAAATGGTTTCCAAAGACTGGTTGTTGAGAATCACATCTGAAATGCATTTAAGAAAATACCAATGACTTTAATATGTTTTCCATTTTAAAGTCAAAAACATAAAAAGACATTCACAATGTTTTTAGAGACAGATTCTTATGAGTAAAATAAAAAGGACAGTTAACAATTCTTTAAGCTAATTTATAGCTTCTTTATAGGAAAGCAAGTTTAAAAGTAAACTTGCCAATATGTCATGTCTAACCAGATAACTTATGAGAAACTAAACCAATTTATTGAATATTGAAACAGGTCATTAACAATTAACCTTGGAAGGTAAATGTGCATATTATATTTAATAAAATAAAAGATTACATTAATGGATGTATAAAGAATTATAAATAATTTTGACAACAGTTCAATTAAAAAATAAAATGAAAGTTTGGTTAGGTAATTTTAATCACTAGAATTTTTTGCAATACATTGACGTGTTGAAATCCTCACAGTATTTAACATGCTAACATTTTTTATTGCTACTTACAAACTCTAGATTTTGTTCAATTTCACAAACCCATCAATGAAATTTGAATAAACTGATTTGTATGGAAAAATACATTACTAAAAACCTTCTTCGCAGTTTAATACTTTTAATTTAATTTCATAGGACTTCATGGCAAACAATATTTTTGAAAAAAAATTTTTTTTTTTTCCTTTTTAACAGCAAAGAATAAATTCTTAGGATTTCTTACTCTTGAGCATGCAACATACAACTGGCCATGTGTAAATATTTCTTTCTGGAGCCAAAACAAACTTTTTGAAGCATTTGGCCTTGTGATTTGTTTATAGTTCTTGCAAATACTGGGCAAACTGGATTCTTGTATATATATATATATATATATATAAAAACAATATTGCATTTTTATTAAATAAATATTTGACATTTTCATCATTAAATTGTTTTTAAAATAGTGGAAGTATTTTGCATGTTAAATAATAAAACTTTTAAATTTATTGTACTAACCTATGCACCTTAGTAAAACCAACTGTACTTTGTGCCTCCCCCTTAACCTGTTTGCACTTCTCTCCAAAATTTGGTTTTGATTGGTCAATATATGGGTGTTTTAAAGGGTGTGACTGACTAACAGAAGTCACACAATTTTACACTGTTCAAAGTTTGAGTTGCATAACCTTAAGAGATCATTGAGGTACTGAGTGATTTCCCCATCCTGGTAGTATAAGGAGTCAGAAATCTCCAATTTAAATTTATAAATATATATTATAAAATTTAAAGACATTTTTTTTTTTTTTTTTTTTTTATATATTTGTAGTATGTGAAAGGGTGCTGAAAAATTACTAGTCCCACCTACTTCCAAAAATCTGACCGAATTGGTTGAAAAGAACTTTTCTTCACTCATTCATATAGATAATCTTATTTTGTTATTCCCATTAAACTGTTAAGCATAGACAAGTTCCAATACAAATTTCAAATTCTTTTAGACTTTTTAACCAGTAATCCATTTCATCATTATTGCAGACATACTTGCTATGTAAAAAGATAATTTCATTAATCTTGCACACACAACCTGAACAAATCCTTAATGACATTTTCTGGGGGTCACTGGATGTTTCAGATCTTTCAACAATTAGACACCCAGCCAGGGTTGATCAAACCTTCAGCTTGTATCCAGATATCACATGTCTCCACTCTAGCCATCTTGAAGCAATTTCTGTTGTCTCTGTGAACAGCTTGATGGCTCTTCATCTAATGGTTCTTACAATGTCCAACATGTCATAGGCTCTGTAGAAAGCTGAGCTTACAAGCCTCTCCTGCACCCCATCTTATTGAACTCACACCTGTTGCTTCAATGGTTCTTCCACAAACTCAACATACTTTATCCTCTTCCTCTTGGGAACATCTTTAGCACAGTTCTCCCAGGGAATTGGAATGATTTGCTCCAAGACTTTAAAGACCCCAATACAATGTCTAGTGTTAGTACTGTTATGCAACAGCTTCTGTGAATTTCAGTTGTTTCTACAAGTCCACCTTCAGTTACCAATCTTGTACTGTTGCTAGCAAAGCCAAGGTGGTGGTCATAGCAATTGTTGTTACCTTCTGATAAAAGCAATAGTTTCTGTTATGGCTTTCATGACTTGATCATGGTGCCAAAGATAGAACCTATTAACTAAGGCTATTGAACAGCTTTGTATGTGTTTCAGAATCAATCAATTCAGGTACAAACTAGTGGCTCTGCTTTCTCCAATAACTTCATATGCTCAAGTTAAAATTTTAGACCAATTGTTATTTTTAACATAAATACATCATTTTAAAATAAATTAAATCACACAATTCAATCCTATAACTGAACAGAACCAATCAAAAGAACAATAAAACATTAAACATCAGTAAATCTAACAATTTTAGCAAATAAGTTCAAAAAATTATCAGTTAATGCAAAATAAAAAGAAACCAATCATTAAAAACAAGTCATTCTGTATAAATGTGATTTTACATTAACCACTCACCAAGATTTCCAATATCCTCCGCAAGTTTGGTTTTCAGCTGCGAAATTTCAGCATAGTTTTTTGCAATTGTTTGTTTCAGTTCTTCAAATCGTGGTCGAATTTCTAAATTGTATTCTGCTAAGCTTTTATTACTAGCCAGCATCATTTCACGATCTTGTTGAATATTCTTTACCTGTAAACAAAAAGGTTTTTTTATATTAATTCAGGCAAGTGGCAATAATTCAAAACATATACAGAACTGCTGCTTCTTGTACCAGAAATTCAGAATTTACTGAAACTATCCACACTTTGAAATTACCTACACCTAAAATATTTGCAAAGATTTCAATTATTTATTTTTGGCAAAATTACAATTTTAGTTCTAAACCCACTTTTTAAATTCAATGCACAATATTGATAAACGTGCAATTTTTAAAAAATACAAGTGTTTAAAAAATTTTCAGCTGTACCCACTTCCCCAAATCTGATCAAATACCAAGTTTTTCAGGTCTTGGTTGAGCTGAGAACTTATCACCTTGTATATTAAAGTTACTGTGATAGATGGCTATCAAACTAAAGTTTTTACATACATTTCTAATGACTGTACTTGGATTGATACATGACCATAATTTGTTTTCACGATATAGGTCATGGTTTCCTTTTCTTTAATATCTGTGAATTTCCATGAATGAATGATAATGGAATAGTTTTCCTTCTCCTTGACTGGTTCATCTACCAAAGCTAAGAAATCCATTCTACTTTACTAGTTACCCACAGCCAGAGGCAGAGAAGAAATAAATTCATACCTTTCCCAAAGGTACTAGTGTGAAGCTAATGCAAAAGCATTGGCCATAATCATAATTATCTGAATCAAAAATTAAATTTATCAGTACTTTTCTAGCCAATTATGCTGACAGGTAAATATAAGTATCATCGCCATGCTGTTAACATGAGAAAATAAGCTATAATTGATGATGGTAACAGTCTTACTAACTAATCAACTAATGGAAGATTTCAAGATGAACACTATACTCAAGTTAGTCTCATTTCATTCACTTTTATTGAAGATCAAAGTTGACTGGGAAGCAAAAAGCTGGAAGAGAGTTTCACAAGTGAGAAATGTGAGAGAAGAAACAACAATCCAGATATAAATAATAACTACTCATCCCAGAAATTCAGACAGAAGGTGATAACAACATGTAAATAATGATAAGTCCTTATCCCAGAAATTCAGACAGAAATTAATTTTGTAAATAAGTTAGTTTTTCCATCTTAAGGAACTTCATTGAATTTATTATTTTTAGCTTTTGCTAAAATGAATTTTTCACTATTATAATTTGAAAGTACACATTTTTGCTGAGAAAGATGACAAAACATTTTTTTTTAATACAACACATGCAAATTTATAACTCAATAGAAAGAAAGAAAAAGAAATACCTGCATCAAATCTTGTACTAATTCATCTAATTTGTTTTCATTTTCTAGGAGAGCCCGTAACTCGTCACGATCTAAATGCTGAAGCAAAGCAACGGCTTCACTTTCATTGATCACCAATCTTGGAGCTTGTCCTGGGATTATGTTACCCGACATGGCTGGAGATCCATAAGGAGGAGTTGGTACATTGGGATTGCGTGGCGGCAAGGCAGGAGGATTTTCACACATGCCTCCATAGAGAGGTCCATAGTTCATGTAACTCATTGGAGAACTAATGTCAGAGAAAAAAACTAAAAACAATAAATTAAAAACAATGGGAAATTTTAAAAATACAATATTTGTTGGCCAATATTTTTTTTTAAATTGACTGTGGCACATTGAAACTCATCATGAACCCCTAAGTGTACAGTGCAAGTATTCGGTACTTAGCCACATGTCCACAATACCAACACACTGGATTTCTGTGCAATATTTGGATTAAGAAATAACTATAGACCACTGAAAACAGTAATAACCAATTTAGCTAGAGTTTCAGGACATTAATTATAGACATAAAAATTTGTATAACAAGATTTAAAAAGCACAAATAAAATATTCTCAGAGTAGCACTCATTGACCTGTGCCATCAAAAACGAATTAAAAATTAAATAAGGTTTCAGAGTTAGATTGTACTTATTGTTATTCTGCATTTCCTTGTTTATGTTTAATACTTCCTGAATATTAAACTAAATAAGTAATATCTATTCATCATTTATAGAGTTTTAGTAATAAAAATAATTTCTTTGCTGCCTAATTACACACACACATATTATATATATATGTGTGTGTGTGTGTGTGGACGCTTCTATTGCTGTAAAAAAAAGTGTTGTAATGGTAATACAAGTAGTTTCCTTATAACAAAACATTCAGCATTCACTGACCAAGAAACCATTCATGCTTTCCATTGAAATTTATAAAATTTTTCTGTTAAAACATTTTTTTTAGAGAAATAAGTTTCTTAAATCTAGTAGCTGTTATCACTTTTCCAGTATTGAGTGGGACTTCCCTCCTAACCTTTTGAATGAAATAGTGTAAATGTCAACATCTTGATTATGTCATTGTGTTCTCTTAAAAGTAACATAATATCCAATTTAGCCATCAATGCTGTTGAAAATCCTAAAGTGACGTGGTTTCTGTTATTTGGTACAATTCTTTATAAGTGATTCTGTTGTACCTGTCCACAGTGTTCAAAGAAGGATGGTTGTTCAAAATCCACAGGCTTCACTTGCTCAAAGCCATTTTAACCATTGATCTTAGAAAGTGGTTGTAACAGCTGACAGTTTGGATATTTCTGAACGAGTTTAGTGCTATGCGTAATATGCACAGGAAAGTTTCAATATGACAAGGCTATTTAAGAACATGACTAAAGTTTTCAGGTTATTGTTTTTGTTTCGTAATAATTTATGGTATTGGGCAAAACTACCTCTAGCACATCCTATTCTATGTTCAATTACCTTTGCTCATATGCTAAATTTGTTATAACTGATCCATACACCAACGTATTTGAAGTGTTTGGTATTTATTAATTACACATCTTGAATTTTTATAATAGATTCAGTGTCTGTGCTATCATTACTTTCAGTCTAATTCCAGATCATTGTTTTGGGAACATTGGAGTCTTATTGAAACATATGGTAAAGGATGTTGATTTTTTGTTCAATATCATTCTTATCCTAACTATGTATACCTATGTCATCAGCATAGCCCTCACCATCATTAGTACAGTGATCTCAGGAGGGAAAATGGAATCATTGTCTTCTATTATTTGATTAAAGATTAGAGAGAGAAACTAAGATGTAGATACAGGATTTGAGGCAATATATGTTCAGTTATTAAAAATGGTTATGATTGTGCAAAGTAAAAGAATTTATCCATAAGATTTCATAATTAACTCCACTAGCAAGAAAAAGAGATTTTTGTTACATTTTTTAACAGCTGTTTGACCATAACCAAAACCATAAGTGATTTGATATCAGTTTTGTGACAAATCTAACACCAAATACTAAAAGCAAATTCTAAAAACAAATGTAAAATTACAAGAATAAACAAAGAATATTCATTTACAATTTTAACAGGTTTGAATTTTATATAATTATAGTTATTAAACATTCAATAATATTTTAAATTGATAAAACTTATATGACTTTTTAAAAGAAAAAAGATTACATATGTAATTCAAATGAGTACTTCTAACAGGAAACATAAAATTATATAAACCAAATTTAGAAGATATTTTAACTTCTGCATATATTATCAGAAAACATTTAATCCCCCATCCCTAAATTGCATAAATTTTTTTTTATTATTAAAGTACAACTGATAGAAGCCATATTGATTACACTGAAAAATTCTACAATTATTAGATATTCAAAATGCTGCATTGCTGATGAAATGGTAGTAGTATAAAAGAAAATATATTTTTAATACTAAAGTTTACTAATACAAGGTTAGAGAACCATTTAGAGGATTACTATTAAAAATTTAAAATGGTTATGATGTATGAGGTGTTATATGAGTGAAAGAGGAGGTGGTACAAAGGGGATAATGAAAATAAATAATCTATTGTAGTAAACCACAACTGTACAATTTTGCCTTATTATGGTTAAATACTTTTTTTTAAATCAAGTCACTCCAAGGTGATAATACAACTAAGATGCAAGGAGCTACTAAGAGTGAAAGAGAATAAGAAAATTTTAGAAAGAACCAGAAACCCAATTCTAAATAGGAAACAAGAAATAAATCTTTACTCCTGTTCAAAAGACTGGGGAAGAGTGTGAATTGGACAATAAGTGAACCCATCTACTTCTATTGAGGGAAAAAAAATAAATAGTAAATAAAATTTCAGAGTTTAGCTGAAGATGTTAGAAGTATAGAGTTGAAGTAGACTTTAGAAGGAGCCAGAAACTCAATCCTAATCAGGAAACAAGGGATAAACCTCTGCTCATGTTCAAAAGACATGGGAAAAGTGTGAACCTATCTACTTCTGTTATAATTATTGTTTGACTGGGGTATTTATCAATCTCATGAGAACAAAGAGCAGTGCCTGGAAAGTCTTTCTTGCCAGAGCACAGACCTAGGCAATAGCTTACCCTCAGTCTCATATTACACCCAAAGTATAATATGAAAAACTTTCTTTTTTTTTTCATATTCTTTGAATTGTTAATGATTTCTCAGTTTTAACATTGATATAGATTTTTTTTAGGTAATGTTTTTGTTATCTCTTTAGAATTTAAAGGTTATTATATCATCATTGTACATATTATTTATCCAAAAAAAATAAAACAATTTTCAGTTTCTTTAGACAATATGAAAGACATATCCTCAATTATTGTTGAAAGAAATAACTAGTGTTTAAAAATAATTTAGATTAAATAGCAAAGGTAGGTTAGTTTGAGACATCAACAATGTTTCAATACACACACAGCTGATTGATTATACAAACAGATGTTACAAAAATATCAGTTATAAAAACTAATATTTGTTACTATTTGGAATTCTTCCAAATCAGTTATCCTTCCATACTTTAATTAGAGCTTTTGACATTTAAATGCAGTAGAATATGAATTAGTTTTTTAATAACAGTAGAGAATATATAATATATAAATCATTGTCATCATTATACTTTACTTAAATTACCAGAAGTTTTAAAAGATGCACAAATATGCTCTTCTCCGGAGGGTGGGGAAGGCATATCCACAAAATAGCACCACTCCCATTGCACTTAAAAGAGGAAAGGACAAGGTCAGAGTTAATTTCTAAGGCCTAAGGTGTCCCCCAAAAGGATAGTGCCAAGAAAGAGACCAACTTTTTAAACATTTCGAGTAGAGACGTACAGTACGGATAAAATTAAAAACATCCCCTTCTTAATTATTTTTTTTTTAAAGTGGTTCCTAAGAGGAATGTGATTACCTATGTGCTGACATCACAATGACAATCAATACATCGAGAAACATCTCGGCGAAGAATTCCCTCACGTAGGAAGTCATTCGAGGTGTTAAATTTCACAATGTCGAGAGACACTTATTTTCATTATTGCTGCGAAAATCGATAACGAATCTACGCAAAAAGTGAAGGACTGTTGATACGAAAATTTTTCACAATTTCTAAAAATAGTTTCGGCCTCATTAATGCAGAAATGTGACGTCACTACATTCTCCTTGGAACCGCAACTTTTTAAAAATACTGAAAAACTGAATTCAGTCGTAGAAACCATTTGTCATAAAAAATACAATGAGTCTTCTCAGGCCTCAATTCTAAGTCTCTTACAGTAAACAATTCAAAAGATATCTGCGTATATTTTGATGTAGTAAATCAGTAAGTAAAACATTCAGAAGTTTGTTTGTTTTTGTTTTTTTAAGATAACTTAAAAAAATTTATAAACTTGCGCCAATCTAAACCAATTTAACAATCACCAACTGATGAAACAAAATCCCGGATGTTTGTATCGTAGGAACTAAAATTTAAGGGACACCGCCGTTCCTGTATGAATTGAATTAGAATACCTACTTTTTAAAAGCATACAAAAATATTAAACGAGTTTTCAAAAAAAAAAAAAAAAACAATTCTGTTAAAGGCTTTTGGCGTAGAATATTAATCGCAATTTTAAAACAAAATACTTTTGACAATTGTTTCGTAAAAAGAACAGAATAAAAATAATATATAAAAAATAACTTTTCTGTCCAGTTCCTCCTTTTTTAGTAGGTGAAGGTTTTTTTCTTTGTTAAACCATCAGCTGGAGTCATTTTAATAATTCACGCATAAATGACCATTACAAAATCAAGAATTCTTGATAGTAATGAAAAGTAGTTACAGCCTAAATAAGGCACCTTTCATATAAGGATTATGAAAGTATTCTGCTTTGATAACAACTTGATTAAATGCAGAAATAAATTATCGTAACATCTGTTGTGACAACAAACAGGTTTTTTTTTTTTGGTTTTTTTTTTACTCAAGCAAGTGCTACGAAAACAAGTACAAATAAAAAATTATTAATTTTAGGTCATGTCGGTCTGAGAGTTTTGAAATTTTTGTTTATTACATAAAGCGTACAGTGATAAAAGTTAATTTTTATTGTTATTATTCTTCTTTTAACAGGTTCCTGTAATTAATATTTTGCAGTAGAAAGTAAATTTACTTTCATTTAAAAACAAAGATTTAATGTAGAAATACAAACAGACAAGTTGTAGCCAATAAAATCGAGGATTTTTTTTTTCATTGCGTTGGAATTTTGTGTTTTTTTTTTCTTCCGAAAGGTGTCATTTTTTTTTAAGACAAGCTATTGTTGTTGCCACTTCTCAAAGGTATCTTAATATTAATAAAATATATTTATGAAAAATAGCCTAACCTACCTGAGTCGTAAAAAAACATACACTAGAAGAATAAGTGGAGAAATAAAGGCTGAAATTACAAACAACCCATCTTTGAAGAAGAGTAACCGGAACTTGCTCAAACCTGGAAGTAGAGAGCGCTACAAGTCTCGTGCATTCTCACGGAAAATTACGTGATTACGTCAACAAGCCACAAACAATTGTGGCATGTCTTTGTCTCCTTTTACTTATAAGAATAAGAAGATTGTTCTTTAAGATATAAATTTTAATTTATATTGTGGTGATTCATCTTCCGTTATGTGCTCTTATGAAGAGAAGCATTTGGTTTATAATTTGTTTAAAATAAGAATTATAGGATTTCGATAGTGAATTTATGTAACTTTTACTGCCAAAGACTGAATTAGTGAATTTATCTTGTTTTCATTCCAACCTTTAGTTTTTAATTTAATTTTATCAATTCAAATTTGATAAACACTAAACAATAAAAAAGTAAATGAATCAGGGTACATATCTTTACCTTTCATTTTTAAAATTATGACTAATATTTACTAACTATTATTTTTCTTAATTCATTTCTAAGTAAATTTGACTAAAATAAAATTATAAAATTTTTTCTAACTTTAACTCCACTCCTGACGTCAGTGTGCTTTCTTTTATTAAACTGGAGGAAAAATTCTAAAAAAAACAATTGCATTATTCAAATATTCTACCAATTCTACTAGTTTCTTAGTTACATTGAATTTTGAAATGCCTTTTTTACTATCGATAATTATTTAAGCATAAAAAATTGAGAACAAATTGTTGAATAAAGTAAAAATTAATAAGCAACTTAAGTACTAGTTAAAAAAATCCTAAGTTGTTTAGGTTTATTTACGCAAACATAAATTGTATTTTCAAGAGTACTGAGGCCAACCACAAGGAATTTTCTAATGAAAATATGTAGGTACCCCCACAGACCAAAAAACGAAAAAATCTAATTTTAAAAATAATATGCCTTCTTTGAATATAATTTCGTTTTTGTGTTTTTTTTTGTTTTGTTTTTTTTTGTTGTTTTTCTTTAGATAATGACCTAATGCAACATTAATCCGAATTAGAAGAAAAATTAATTTTAGTTTGGTTTTTATTAATAAACTTTTTGCTTTTAGACATTAAAAACATTGGCACGTTCTCTAGTCACTCTTTGACTAACTCATCGAACCGTATTTAGACAAAAATAAAAAACGCCAACAACAAATTTATTTAAAAATACAATATTTATCATAGCCATATGTTTTCAAGTCATTTAGTAAAAAAGTATTAATTAGCTGGATTTTGTAAAAGTAGTGTTTAGTTTACGTTTTACTTAAATCATAACGAAAATAACGTTTATTTACGTAGAGCAGCCGTTGGGGTCATAGGTCAAAAATATATGGTCACACCCCTGACTTAAAAAGCGCGCGAAAAATAAAAATTAAAGAAATACGGAATACCAGCAGTGCAATAATCAAAACTGGTATTTATGTTTAAAAATAAATTATCTTTATCCTTACCTTATATAACCAATAGTTTAAGAATATCATTTTTTTTATTTAATGATTTTATGAAACTTAGTAGAATGAACAATTTTATTTTTATACTACATTAGAAATATATTTTTAATGATAGTTTTGAGTATAATAAATTCCCTTTACTTTTTTCATACACGATTGATGTCATAAAATGTCTAATTGCACCCAATGTATTTTTTAATTATTCTGAATTCAAGATTTATTGCATTATTATATATTACTCTTCCAATAGGAAAAAGTAATCAAAGGTGGTAATTCAAAATTATTTCCTTTTTGAACACCTATACCAAAAATAATCTAACAGCTAAAATGAAAAAATAAAATAAAATTCTTTTAAAAACAGTTCATTCTTGAAAATGGCATTTTTCAATTCTTCAAACATGTTTTTATTTTAGAGAAAATCTCTTACAAACAGCAACGAGTTGAATTTCAAATTCATATTGAAAACTACAAGTAATTTTTTAAAATAAATATTAAGTATAGTTTTTTTCTCTCCACTCTGAAAGAAAATCAAGTGTTTTATTAAAATATGCAAGTGCAAACTCAGAATAATTTATTTTTTGGTTTTATCAAATTAATTTTGGTAAGAATTAGGATGAATTTTCTGCATGTTCATACTTGATATTCTATAAAGTTTTTACTGAAATAATATCTGTAGGGATTTTTCTTTATATAACAGTAAAAACTTGATGAATACCCACCCCCAAATTAAAAAGCACATTCAATACCAAAAAGAGGATGGGTATGAGACAGGCCCATCTCCCAATTATTTTCACAAAGTTTTCTAGTAAAATAACCTATTCAGTATACATTTCATTCATTTCATAAGTACTGAAAGTTCCATTTGAGTCATATTTTAAAACAATGTAGCATGCCTATTTTGCTTGAGTGAGCATGCCTCTTTTGCTTCATGATTGATTAAGCAGAAGATTTTCCAACAGTAGATTGCCGTTTCTTTCTGTGTTAGACTAGTTGACAACCAAGGCTATAGGACCCAGTCTGTCCTGCTATTCAACCAATAGCTGGGGAGTGAAAAGATGAATTCATACTTTTTCCAAGAGTATTTGTACATAAGTGAATATAACAAACCAGACTAGAATTCAAACCCAGTGTTGTATCAGTAAGTAATTACTGATAACAATATTAAGGATTAAGAGTTATGTCCCTTGTTGTTTGTATCTGCTCATGGGGACCGTTACATGGGAGTTCTAATAAAGTTTGTTAAACTGTTAATACATGTTTGTCATCACTCATACTATCCAAGCAGCTTAGAAAGTGATTTACTTTCTGAGATGAATGTTACCCTCATGAACGAAATACTTGGCTCCTCAATTTCTCATTCTGGGCCATTATCCATTACACCACAATACACATCCTAATAAATAAATTACTTAGCTAAAAAATAATCAAATCACCTGATAGGTAATATTTCTCTTAGGTATCTAATACAAGGGCATCAGAATTTTTCTCAGTATGCAGTAAAAAGAGATTGGCTTACAGCCACACCAGGTTGAAACACTGCTTCCCATATGATCACTGGTTAAGCAACAGTAACCGTTTGAGAATACCAGATACTGTAAGTTTGGACGTGTGAGTGGTGTAATGGATAATGGCTTGGAATTGTTAATCAGAAACCCAAGTTCCAGTTCCAGTTAGGTCCATTATATTCACTTACACACAAATACCCTTGAATTCACCTCTTCCCCACTCAGCTATGGGTTAATTATTAAGACTTGTATCACTAAATCATTATTACCTCAAAAAAAAAATTCTTACATTCTAAAAAATATTTTCTGGCTTTAAATAACCTGCAAAGGGTTGATAAGCCAGAGAAAATAAATGAATAAATCAAAAAGGATTTTTAATAAAAATGGTCTGAAAATTTCCTCCCAAAAAATAAACATACCCCTACTTCTTTTAGATACCAAAAAGTACAAGCACAAGCTTCTTGCCAAAAAAAATAAGTTTGTAAATTCAGTCACTAGTTTAGAAAAAATGATTTCTGAAGACTTTTGCACACACCTTATTATCAGAACAGAAATTTCCAGAATGGCACACAACTAAGCATAAATTTTCAACAACATCTCTCATTACGGATATAGTTGTTTTGTTTTTTTCATTCTTTCAAAATATACTGGTATTATTTTGTGTTTTCTGATTGATAATATATTTTACTGTTAACAGAAGATGATCAAATAACTAATACTCTGTGGTAATTAAGTATTTTTTATGAGGATGTGCAGATGGTGTAACAGATATCAACTCTGAAATTAGAATTAGCAAGTCAAGTTCAAATTCCAGTCTAGTCTGCTGCATTAACTTTTGCACAAATAGAAAAGGCATGAATCCATCCTTCACCCTCCAACTATAGGTTAAATAGCAAAGTAGACTAGGCTCTTTAGGCTTGAATGACAATCAGTCTAAGAGAAAAAACATTTTTAATTCTGGACCATGGAGAAGGCAACAGGAAACCATTCCACTATCTTTCCCAAGAAGGCATGGCAATCCACAGATAATAAAGAAAAGGAAGTTATAGAAAGCTATGATTGCCTATGCCCTGAGTGAACATAGCACTTTAAGAAATTTAGGACAAAAATGGCCAAAGATATTAAGAAAGACTATTGAAAGGTTACAGCAGGGACGATACCTTGGTTTAACTCCTGATTAATGTATTTAAAAAAGCCAATACAAAAGAAAAATTATTAGCTATCCTGCTTTCATGAATAAAAATTATTTTTCTTTGAACTAACTACAAAAGCATAAAGAATTTTTTTTCAAAAGAGCTGTTTGGTGTTTTAATTTTGGGTATTGAAAGAAAAGGGTCTGAATCCTCAAATAAATTGGAAAATTCTAGATTTCCCAAACACCCCCAATAGTTTTAGGGATAGGGGCAAACTATGTTTAGAAGAAAAAAAATCAGGATAATAAAATATAAAGATCAATGCAAACTATTAAATCAACAGAGAGAGCTAATCATGAAATGTAGGCATAGAAATAAATTCCAAATTACATAAGAATACATGTGCATATATTTGGGGGTGTATGTGTATATATAGTAGCATATATGTATGAATATGTAAATGTACATATATGTATGTATGAAAATATGTATGCATATAAGTGTGTTGGACAGCATGATTTATTCCATTGGGTGCTCCGGTATTATGCACAATCTATAAATCTGCAACTCAACTAATTTACATTAATCTTAATAGGCTTAAGTTTAAATCTCCCATCACTTATTAATATTATTAATCATACTTATTATAAAACCCAGGTTGTGTGTGTGTGTGTGTGTGTGTCTGTTCGTTTATATATTGGAGTGGTTTTCCTATATTTTTCAACCGATTTCAACAAAATTTTACAGGACTACATAAAATTACCTTGTGGTGGTTCTTACAGCGCGAAAATTGGAAAAACAATTGTTTTTGCACGAAATCAATTTGAAAACACGATTAAGAGGCATTAATGAAAGGGGGACAACTCATATCGAGTTATACTTATAAAACCCAGGTTGTTTGTATGTGTGTGTGTGTGTGTGTGTGTGTTCATTTATATATGGGATTGGATTTCCTACATTTTTCAACCGATTTCAACAAAACTTCACTTTTTTTTGGCAGGTAGTGTTTCTTATTTTCTTCCACACTTTTTTCTTTATTTTTACATACAGAATGATTTAATAATTTTATTTACAAGGCAATTGTTTATAATAAAATTCTATTCAATTGGTAGACTCATAACGATTGAAAACAATGTTTTTGTTTGAGTTTGGGTTTGACCAATTCGTAAAAAAAAATTAAAAAAAAAAAAAACTAATTAAGACATGCATGTCTGTCAACCTTAAACAATAATCTTTGTCAATTTTATTTTTCAGTCTTTATGATGGTCGATACTTGATCTATCTCTTACTGTTACATCTCCGGGCAACGACGAGCTCTACTACTAGTATTGGATACCTGTAAAAAAACCTATTTACT